TCGTACGTGGATATCAGGCCTTTGTAGAGCAAAATTGAGTATTTTGGTCTAGACGACCCAAAATGTGATGTCCACATGTGTGGACGGCAGGTCCTAGGAGGTTAATGCATTAGTCAGAGATCAAGATTGTTGGGGGCAGTAATTCCAAACTAACGTGGGAAGCTTAAACTAAACTTGGCATCATATTCAAAGAACCTGGGTGTGACGTAGGTATCTTGTGGGAAGTTTCTGACCAAAGTGATGTACATATCTTATGTTGTTGTTAGCGGTGATTACATTACTGTTATAAACAATAAAGTTTCTGCAGTACATATGAAAAAAAGCAAGTTTAACAGCTACCTAAGAAAAGAAAAGAAAAAATAATGTTTTGATGGTTTTGATGGTGTCTCTCTCTGAGTGCCCCTTGCTGAGTTCCTCCAAACCGAAGACCACGCAGGTAACCTCTGGAGCTGAGGAATGATGGAAAAGTGGAAGTGTCTGAAACTGTAATTCCTTGAAGTGCCACTTGAGTTTGGGCCCCAAAGTGAGTCAGTGCCCCAAAGGATGGAAATTTGGCTTATTTAAAGCAAGGACACACTTTAGAGCTGTTAAAGCCATTATGGTTTAGTCAGACTAGAGATATATCAGTACATGTGCATTAGACTTGTACCAATAAGCCTAATGCACATCTTGTTATGTACCAACATCAACAAGTCAATAATATCACATCATAAATAGAGTAAAAACAAACTTTGCATTGACCCAGACTCTGGGTCTTATAAGGACTATGTGGGAAATGATTATAGAATCAGACACAATCTCATACACACACACACACACGCACACAGAGTCCTGTGCAGTATCTGGTCAGTGATCTCAGATGTTGATACTGGGATCTGCTGGAGCCACTCGCCCAGTTTGGGGGTTACTGCCCTGAGTGCTACAGTTACCACAGGGACCACTGTTCCCTTCACCTTCACATCTTCTTGAGCTCCTCTCTCAACCTTTGGTATTTCCTGAGCTTTTCATCTTTTCTTTACACCTATCACTGCTATGGTTAGTTAGCCATCACCAGTTTGTCCGTCTGTATCTAAAAGTTCGACAGAATCTCAGCTCAGTCATTGTCTCCCATTTTGACCTCGGGGCTTCCAGGCCATACTTCCTGTATACTGTGCTGACCACTTGGTATGCCCTGCCTGCTAGCATCTTGCACCCTGCTAATATTTGCTGGATTGTCTCAGGGGTGTCTTTACACAGCCTGCACTTGGGGTCTTGCATTGTGTGGTAGACCCCAGCCTCTATGGAGCTTGTACTTAGAGCTTGTTCTGTGCTGCAATGATTAATGCCTCTGTGCTGTCTTTCAGTGCAGCTTTGTCCAGCCACTGGTAGCCAATTAATATCAGCCACTTCTTCTATCTGCCGATGATCCATGCCATGCAGAGGTCTATCCTTCCTCACGTATTCACTAACATGCAGTCAGTTGTGTCAGTCTTCCTGATGTACTCACGGATGTTTGTTGTTTCATCCTGGATAGCGGTACATAGTGATATATATCTATTCATAATTTTAAGATACGTTATACGGCGTCTTTCTTGTGTAGCTGGGAGTATACAGCCACGGCGCTGTTAGACTGGTACCACCATTTCCTTTAACTTTAATAAAAGGACTTCTTTTTTCCCGTGTTTGGTTTTCTGTATAAATTTATTGGTTTGATCTCTGGTGTCTTCAACCCACATCCCACAGCATGTCAAACACATCAATTCGCACACACTCACAGCTATGTAGAAACTACATTATATCTATTCTTCCGTTGCTGCTTTCTCTCTCTTTGCCTTTCACACGCTCCCTCACTTGCTTCAACACATGCCCACCCACACTGCATCACAAGCACATGTAATCTGGAATTGTATTTTCCCTTCCTTCTCCTTGCTTTCGCTCCCCCCCCTTCTCCACCGCCCCTCCCATCTTGCTCTCCTGTCTGTCTCACATACATGTGCTCGTACCCTGAAGACCAGATTCCCATTTGAAATGAGCTTGCAGCTCAGCCCGTCCTCTGGGCCTCTCTCTCTCTCCTTTTTATTCCTTCTGCAATTCAAATTAAGACCACGCTTTACTGTCTTGACTGGGAAGAAACCTGTGCAGTGCATTTCATTTCTTGGCTGATTCTTTTTTATGAATTTTGTATGGGCGGTGGGGGTTAAACACATGATTCCATGGCCTCTTTATTACATACACTCATACCTGTGATTATAGAGCAATATAGCACAAACAGGATTGCCAGCTTTCACCCATCAGAGTGAGGCTGTGGAGAGAGAGAGGAGCATTTGGCCCTATTCTACTGATGCCACATATTTAAGAGCAGGAAAGACATCTCAGCACAATCACACAAGTACTTCACGAGTGGATATTAGCCTAAATCTACATTCTGTCTTATTGATTTCACGTGTGAAGATAACTGATCAAACTTTGGTGAATTATGACACAAAAACATGTGTGAGACAAACTGGAAATATATGAAATGAGTACCTTTATTATTAATGTAGTATATATAGTGGATGACCACTGCACATAGAGGCCCTGGAGCAATACCTTTGGTTGGCTTTGAGGCAATTCTGGCGATGTAGGTAGCAGCTTCCTGCTCACACCGTCTATAGTGGGAGTGGGGTGCTGCTGATCTCATCCATGGATATAATAAAGAATTATTCAAAGATCTCAAAGCCACTGAAAGACTTTCTTTAGTAAAAGCACAGAGGGATGACTCGCCCATCACTGTGTCTGAGGTCACCAATGTAGTCAAAAAAAAAGACTACTTAGAGATAGGGTGAGAATCTCGATTATTTGGGAGGCAGCTCAGTGGAGCTGTTACTCCTCGATGTGGAAAGGAGCCAGCTGAGGTGTTTTGGGGCATCTCCTTAGGATACCTCCTCAGTGAAGTGTTTTGAGGATGCCTCACCGGGAGGATATTAACCTGTGAATCCAGTCATAAGTGGCCATTCAGCCCTCAAACTCCAGTTTGAGCTAAAACAGAGTTGGCTTCTTGGAGCTGGATAGAAAGAAAAAAAGGGGAAATGATCAGCTTCATGGCAGTAAATTTGGATTCCATGAAACCGCGAAAGGTCTCTTTATGAAGCAATGCTGTGTATTAGCAACACAAACCTCTGCTAGCAAACAAATCCGCTTTGCATTCATTTACGCTCATTGTGTATTCGGCTTTTGTCAGCTTTGTCATCGTGTTGAAACAAGCTGGAGTATTTTTTGAAGCTGCAATACATCAACCAATCTTTTGCTCAGATAAAAGGAAAAATGCAGACACCTTTGTGCCTGCTGAGAAATCCCCATCTGAGAAACTCCTCCTCTTCCCTTCTCCTCTCGACACAGCCATCGTAATGACGCGTCGCTCTTCCAAATTGCCCCTTTTAAATTATACATTCTGCTTTAAACATGGAACAGATACTATTATTCCGAGACCAACCTACACCTCGGGGGTCAGGACAGCTCTG